TATATATATATATATATATATATATATATATATATATATATATATATATATATATATACAGAAGCAGCGAACATATGTAGCGACAACCACAAACAAAACAAACACTTTTATTCCACCTCAGATCTACAAATAATTTATCATAATATTATAAATTGAAAACAAAAATGATAGGGGCGCTGGCTACCCCAATAACGTGGGGATACGCTCGTGGTCGTGGACGAATAACAAAAGCCAATTAATACAAAGATCTGACTGATCATGCCGCAGTTACATACACAACTTAAGCAGTCCTCTGACTGTAAATTCAATAAGCGTTCCCTTTCTTTAGGGGCATCAATAGCGAAAGTGGCAATCAAGACATTGACATTGAATAGACTGATTAGAAGAATGAACTTAGAATGAACTCTGAACGTAATATGGAACCAGTTGTTACATTATGTAACATATGTCACACCTTCGCACTAGCATCTATCGCACAGCACGCACAACCATGTTATTAGCACAAAGCACTACCACCGCACATTTGAATAAACTAGGCAGTCATTCAAATTAAACGGTCAGTTTTCATTTTGCAAACTGAGCAAACAACAACTTTATCAAAGTTCTTGAGTTATAGTATCTTTTTTCATTAAACTATTGTTCCACGTTGGGATATATAATGAATTCAAAAGAAATGAGCGCCCATCCATTGTAAGCGCACCCTATTCAATAAAAGAGCTTCCTTAAACTAGCAAAAGTGAATAGCGCCCATATGAATAGCGCCAAATCGAAGCATAACGATAACCTTCCTCTTAGTTCTATGTAAGGTTACACCCCTGTAAAGTTGCATACCCTGTGAGAGATTCCCTTCTCTTACTGCTCAGAGAAAGAGAAAAGAATCCTTGTCTCGCAGGGTAGTTGAAAGTGTTAACATTTATCCTAACTTTTTGTCTTCAATCTGTAGAATGCCGTCACAATTTACTTTAACTATGAAAACCGCAACAATAAAAGAAGAAATGTTTTAGATTTTTTGATCACTCCAAAGACGATGTTCCTGACGTAGAGGTTACGTTTTATTGCAATTGGCAAACTCGATTTCGTGTGGATCCCACGGAGCTGGTACATCTACAGCATATAATTCCCTTAAGCTTTTCTCGGAAGGCTTTGTTAACCAGAGCGTACACAAAT